GTTTTGGTGGCGGGGACAGGGAGCAGCCTGCGCCCGTACGATACGGGGGGACAGGTGTACGGTGCAAAACGAAGGAGGCGGAGACAAGTACGGATTCTTGTAAGGTGTTGATATTATTAATTTAATGCTCGCTAGGGCCGCTCATCTTCGTATAGATAGACGCACAATAAATTGGTTGATATGGTGTATTTAATAATATTTAATAATGAACAATATTGGGGCAAGTACAACTAATCCTAAGGAAACTCTGGTGATGGCGTTTTCCTAATCTTCAAAGTGTCCTCTAGCGAACGAGATGTGTTTTCAGTTCTTCACCGACTTGCTTCCTCAAATGTAGACGTCGTCGTTGCGTAGGCTGTCTTTCATAAGATCCAGCTGCTAAATTGAAGCCAGCAAGCACGCAATCATGTCTCGATACTCATACTTGCTGCAAGGATGACGCTCACAACATACTATGAATTTAATACCACAAGACATACGAGTATGATATCATTAACATTCATTATTCATGATATCAATTTATGAGATGTCTTAGAATCTCATCATAGTACAAGGAGCAGCATATAATGTATAGTATAGTTTGACCCGACTCTTGATGCAAGCATGAAATTGATACTCGAGTACGGCCCCACTCTCGTCAGTCAGACGTTGAACATCGAAGAATGCATAAGCAAAACTATTAAAAGTTGAGAACGATTATCAGATACTGTCACAATTTTAAGGAAAAAAGAGAGCAACCCCCGCGTTACTGGGAAGAAGTATAGGACTCTGATGATCTACTAGAACAAAAAACTAATTCCTTTTACGAAGAAATAAGTTACATATTCAAGTGTCGATCAACTCCAAACGTTCAAAAGATACAAAAAGAATCACTTCAGTTTTCTAGCATCAGGCGAACTTGTCAATGGCTCGAAGAGCGGTGAGTAACGATGATGCTTAATAACCATGAGTAGAACCCAAGTGTTCGAAGCTAAGAAAACTAGACTTGCAATCCACAGCTGTAAGAAGACGTTCTGGCCTTTGAATTCTAGTAGATAAGCCCACGTGAGCCAGTGGACTTGAGATCCCATCCACACTAGGACGCAGAGCAAGCCCTTCCTTTTGAGTTTCATGCTGCTCCAAGGAAGAATCAAGGGCAACATGCAGAAGAACCACACGAAGTATTGTGCAGTGATAACCTGTTGATGGCCATGAAATCAATATCACAGAGATCATATGAGTTCTGAGAGTCAAAAGTATAAGCTAGCAGGCAAGTGTGACAGATTAGATTCAGTAAAAATTTACACAAATTTAACATCATGAGCAAGTTCTGCTTCAGGTCATATGTAATTTTATAGGGTTTTATTAATATTTTCAGTTGGTTTGGATTAGTTATTGGAATTAGGGTGCTAAAAGCCAGAGTTATGAATTTTCCAAAATATAAGCTTCCTGGTAACTAGCTATTAAAGAAGAAAGACATTTTATTATTCAAAATGAGAACGGAAAAGGCCATTATAAAACATAAAAGCAACAGTGAAATGACTAGATTCACAAATCTTCTAACGTTAATATGGATTTGGGTACTACCACCTGTCAGATGTCAGGGTTCACAGTTTAAGCGTTGATAGTCCACAGACAAGTAATGCTTTGTACTGTAGCATAAGTGCATAGCTGAAGTTTGTTATGCTAGATTCAAGACAAATAAAAGAATTCGTTCATAATTAGTCTACAATTTCGGATAATTACATAAGAAAATAAATATTACCGGCCTCGTGATCCGGTTATCAAGTCAGGATATACGGATATTAAAACATCAAAAAGAACTTGATCTTGATATCCAGTTTTCATATCCCCAGACAACTTTTTAAGATCAAATGACCCGTCATATATGCTACAACGCACCAAGTTCAGTCCTTCAAAAAATTAATTGCATGAAAATGAATTTGGGACGTTGGAAAAGATTATCATAAGTAGTGTCACGAGATTGAGCATTCAAACCTTGTTAAATGCAACGAAAGCAACTGTCTGCGCGAAAAAGCAAAGCGGGACATCTTCGAAAAATTGAAAGACAAGTGCAAGCTGAACCATCATCTGAGGCAGGAAAGAGATGAGCTTCTCCAAAACTGAGAATCCATGTTGGTGATGGAGATAGATGTGGTAGAAATATATCGAGAAATTGTGCCTTGGGTCGGTCCGCGTGAGATGATATAAGAGAGCTTCATTTAGGAATTCCCATCCATATAGATAGAAAAAAAGAGAGGTCCAGAAGAAAAACACAGACCCAGACAATAGCCCAAATAATATTCTCTCCTTCGTGATGCAACTCCTTAATAGTGACCATACAGATGGTTTTGGCACTGGACCTGTAGTCAACTTGTTCAGTCTTGAACCCCATTGTTGAAGGGCCGGCTTCCCAGAGAGTCCAACATTTGCCTTATTAATAACTAGGACAAGAGGGAGAGAATATATGATTGGGTAAACTCGAAAGTGGACAATAAGTCCATACCAAAATGCTGCTTGGAAAGCCTTGCCTGTCAGAGAGGGGCAAAAAAAAGAAATATTAACAAATATAGATATTTATCATAAATCTTGTGCATTAAGTATAAGATTGTGGACCATTAGGCATTAAGGAATGAATGATTCTGATATAATGCAATTTCAAAACCTTCCATGGATAGATCGGATACAGCAGTTGGTTTAGAATTAAAATTTATAGATTATAACCAAAGTGATATGCAAATATTCCTTATTGTACCAGACAGCTTGATGCCTGACGCCAGATGATGATAAATACTACCTCGGTTTGTACTTTTAACGGTTTAATCGTTCCCATTAATGATGATGATCTCACAATTAAACTATGTTCATAGATGATGCTTGAATCTGAGCAAAAAAAAAAAAGAACAATAACAGGGTACAAAAAACTGAACTTCCTCAGTTCTCTCCAACATATCAATGTTATCAGTTTTTGTCCTGACCGAAAGGAAGCAGGACTAGCTCTGTGATTCCCTATTTTTCCCATTAAGGTGATAAACAGTGGCTTCTAAGTCATGCTATGGGGCTACCCAACAGCTCTAAAGTTGTACAATTTTCAAAAATGTTCTGTTATGACTATATGCTTGAAATAGCCTATAGAAAAAAGATTCAAGAAATAATAAATATTTTTACGTGAATTTGAAGAGCATCCTAACAATAATCAAATCTTGTATTGTAGAAACAAAATACAGGTAAAAAGAAGCAGAACTTACACCATTCATAAGACAAAGTATAATCCAAAGGATGGTGGCACAAACTAGAGGCTCACAGTTCCCTCTAGTACCAATGGTGAACGTAAATGGATTGAAAAGCCAAGCTGCCACAGACCTAAGCCGCAGGTTCTCAGGTACACCACGTAGCTGCAAGATGGCATCGACAAAGAACCCCACGAGCAAATCTAGATAAAGTGGCACTTGTTAGTCAATAATGCATTTACCAAACCATAATCAAAATCGAACAATTAAAGTCATTCAGATATCTTGATTTATCTAGATAATAACACAAGCATTGCACATGTGAAAAACTATGAATACATAGAGATAATAATTTCACAACATTCTTCTCAGTGTAACCTTAATAGCTAGCACATGATACACAAAAGAGTAACGTCTACTGCATTCACCCTTCCTTTAAATTAAGGCAGAGAAAATGGGTATTCTATGCCCAACAAAGTGCCTTGAAGTAATTAAAAAAAGTCTCAAAATTACTCAGAGAACAACTCTCAACTAATTGTGGATTAAGTTCCCATAGGAGCAATGCTATACATCCCAGCTATTAACACTGAAGATTCATCAAAATCATAAATTAAAAAAATAGGTATATCATACTTTTCCGATGGGAGGTTCGATAAGTAAAGTTGTACTCATTGCATAAAAGAGGCAGAATGCCAACAAGGTGCAATGATAATTTAGTAAGGAAATTTCTATAATCATCATACAAATGCTGCCACAGATCTGGGTTTGTAACTTGTATGACTAAAGCCACTATGTTACTTATGACTAATGATCATCTACCTCATTATGATCCAGCAATATCAGTACTGATTTCAGTATTGCATACTAATCTCAGGAAACATATCACTTTCCTGCCGTTTTTAAGCAAATATCAAATCAAATAACACATCATGCTAACTAAAATACTACTAAAAATAACATCGACATCAAAAAGATTCATACCAGCAGAAGAGAAAAGGAATTTTCCCCAAGATCGATGGATCAATGAATTAGGAACGAGCAAAAAAGCCAACAGAGGGGAGTATCTATACGTTGACCTCTCGAACGGCGAGTTCCCCTTCAATACTAAGTCAGCGGCATCTGAGAACACGGAGTAATCGATGTCGGTGTACCTCACCACCATGTGTGAGTCCTGCCACTCGCCGTAGACGATGAGCGCCAGCCGTAGGATCGCTGAGATCAGAATCGTACGGCGGAGATCGAAAGTAACGAAAGGGGTCATTTTTGGGGAGAACATGAAACCCTAGTTTCTGATTTGAGTCGGAAAAGGTGGTATTTTATTAGATCTGGATCAGATTGAAGAATATGTTTATTTGTAAATAAAACCCCTGCGACTCTTTGAATTTGTGTTGACGTTGAGTAGGATATGCATATTAGTGCCTGTGCATTACATTATTGTCTTGAACAGTTTGTGTGAGCTGGTCTTTTACTTGCAATCCCCTTCTTTCACCCAAAAAACACAAAAAAAGTTTCTGTCCAAACGCGTCCTTAGAGTATACTAGTCATGAACACCGTGCAAAGCCGCTACAGTAATCTGATTGTAATGCTATAGTAATTTTTTATACTTTTTTGAATTGCTACAGTTTTAAAAAAAAACGCATGTGAATTTTTTCATAAATTGCTACAGTATTCAATATCATGTTTGCTACCATAAATGTTACTGTAGTATTTACTACAGTATGAATGGTAAATCTTTGGTTTTCCTATTCGTATAGAGGAGTAGATTTGTTTGGCAAGGCTAAGTTGGTTGCAACAAAAAACATTTCAGTTACCAAAATTTCGCCCAAGTTATGATAAGTTGGGACTACTAGGTTCCACATCTTAGAATTTAAGCTTATGAAAAGTATAGATTTTTTTTTTTTGGAGGGTAGATATTAGAAATTGGAGATAATCATTCATAATTTGGACATTTGTAGTTGAATGAATATTTAAAAAGTTAAAAACCTACATTTGATGCCCCAACACATCAATGCGTGCATCATAGTTTGATGTACGCGTTACTACAGGAATTGAAGAAAAACATTTTCAAAAGCATCTCATAAGTTTTGGGTCTAATTGCAGTTCCAAATTGATATTGTAAATGTATAAACATATAAAGATCAATGAACCACCGAGGCCTAGTCAGTTCTTTAATCTCCTCCTCCTCTTCTTTGAGGTACAGCATTTTTGCTACAAAATATACAAAAACACAGCCGTTCATCTGGAACTCCATCCAACAAAGTCAAGCGCCAAAATAAAACAAAAAATGCACAGAGTTTACAGGTTGCTTAATGAGAAGGTAAGCAACTTCGGCTATTTAATTTCCCCTCTTAATTACAGCTTCTTTCTGACATGGGCAAGGTTCCTCAGCTCCTCGAATGCATGCATCGTCTCGGAATCAAATCCTCCAGCAAACTGCATTGCAGAAGAATAGCGAGCTTATACTTGTTTTATGAAGAAACAACATGAAAAATCGAGAAAAAAAAAATTTAGCGGAGTTGGTTTCTAACCTGATGAATTCTGAAAGCAAATCTCACTCCCTGAAGCAGCATATACTCTAGAGCCGGGTCCTTGTTTGATGCCCCCATCACTTGGAGTTCAGTTGCAACTCTCTTCATATGTCTCTTCGCTAACTTCACCGAGGCAAATTTTATCTGTAGGGAGAATCGTTAGACTTATTTTCTGTCCCCAAGCACCAAAACAGTGGGGTTACTTATGCAACATTAGTGGTTTTTGACATAATAGATGATGAAATGTTTACTTGTATATATCATTATAGATCTTCGATAATATTGCACTGAAAAGATTTGTCTTCATAGAACAAAAAGAATAAACACAAGGGTTAATTGTGGATACACGATAGTGTTGTAGGATAGCCACTTATATCCCCTAAACTTCTTTCTGAGAAATTACACCCCAGAAACACAGACAATAATAATTTTTTTTCTTGTGAATTTAGAGGACAATTTAGTGTTTTCCAGGACAGAAAAGCACTAAAGGTAACTTACCGGCACATGGCTCCCTTCTGACATCTCAATCTAACTTGAAAAAAACTCTTATGAAATTTCAGGGGTGTAAGGTTTGATAAATTAGTTTAGGGGGTATAAGTGCTACACCTACGTATTGAAGAAAATGTGTATGCAATGAACCCTAAAAAACAGTTACAATTCAGATCAACTCCGCAAGTATATACCTTACTAATAATTCCAGTGTCGAGCATCCAATCCGTTGGTACTTGGAACTCCTTGCAGTGTCGCATCATCACATCTCTCGTTCTTTGAAGGTTATAAACGCTACGCTCCATCCTAAGTTGGGAAAAAATAGCTTCGTTATCAACTAGAGGGGGCTAAGAAATAGAGCCAGAACATATCACTTTAAGCAATTTTATGTGTTCTAGGATGTTTAATCTTATATTGCAGTAAAGTAGTGGATTATCAAAATAGAGATTGGTTATAAATTTCCAATTGAAAATCTAGTTGTTACATTGCTATATGATGCCATATCTGTAAGGCTATCTTCAGCAGCCAGTATTCACTGCCATCAAGTGTACATTTATAAGACTAACTACAAATATTGAGTGAACTGAAAACAATGCAAATAGATAACAACTACCTTGTTTGATGCCCCCATCACTTGGAGTTCAGTTGCAACTCTCTTCATATGTCTCTTCGCTAACTTCACCGAGGCAAATTTTATCTGTAGGGAGAATCGTTAGACTTATTTTCTGTCCCCAAGCACCAAAACAGTGGGGTTACTTATGCAACATTAGTGGTTTTTGACATAATAGATGATGAAATGTTTACTTGTATATATCATTATAGATCTTCGATAATATTGCACTGAAAAGATTTGTCTTCATAGAACAAAAAGAATAAACACAAGGGTTAATTGTGGATACACGATAGTGTTGTAGGATAGCCACTTATATCCCCTAAACTTCTTTCTGAGAAATTACACCCCAGAAACACAGACAATAATAATTTTTTTTCTTGTGAATTTAGAGGACAATTTAGTGTTTTCCAGGACAGAAAAGCACTAAAGGTAACTTACCGGCACATGGCTCCCTTCTGACATCTCAATCTAACTTGAAAAAAACTCTTATGAAATTTCAGGGGTGTAAGGTTTGATAAATTAGTTTAGGGGGTATAAGTGCTACACCTACGTATTGAAGAAAATGTGTATGCAATGAACCCTAAAAAACAGTTACAATTCAGATCAACTCCGCAAGTATATACCTTACTAATAATTCCAGTGTCGAGCATCCAATCCGTTGGTACTTGGAACTCCTTGCAGTGTCGCATCATCACATCTCTCGTTCTTTGAAGGTTATAAACGCTACGCTCCATCCTAAGTTGGGAAAAAATAGCTTCGTTATCAACTAGAGGGGGCTAAGAAATAGAGCCAGAACATATCACTTTAAGCAATTTTATGTGTTCTAGGATGTTTAATCTTATATTGCAGTAAAGTAGTGGATTATCAAAATAGAGATTGGTTATAAATTTCCAATTGAAAATCTAGTTGTTACATTGCTATATGATGCCATATCTGTAAGGCTATCTTCAGCAGCCAGTATTCACTGCCATCAAGTGTACATTTATAAGACTAACTACAAATATTGAGTGAACTGAAAACAATGCAAATAGATAACAACTACCAAATTCCAAAAAAATGACAAATATTGAATTTTCACATGCTACTATGCTAAAAAATATAGCATTAGAAATGCAAACAGCACAAGGGAGACGAGGCTACCACAGTTTGTAAGTAATTCTTACTTTTCCGACAAGGCTACCATCTTCTTTAATGCAACATCACAAGGGAGACGAGGATCATCTTTATAATTTGTAATTTCAACCTCCAGTTTCTTCATATCACGGTATCCAAATGCTGCTTCTCGTAAGGTATCAGCCTTCTTCTCGGGCCAATCAAAGTGCTTTAGCACTGCCCTCTCATCCACCTTCAAGAAGATAAACTTGCATGAATTCCTGAAAATTGTTGAAGTCATTGCCAAGGCAAGTAAGGAGAAATAGCACTTACAAGAAAGCAAAGTTCATCGTCAAGCCATTTCACAAATGCAACTACATCTTCAATGTCTTGGTAGGCCGCATTGTTCACCTCCTTTATCAGGGACTTCACAAATTCACCCTGAGTCTCAACATCTGCTTTTATCTAAACAAAAAAGCCACAAATTAAACTCTGTCCCAAAAAAGAACTTGTAAAACAAAAACATCAAAAGTTCTAAACATGGAAATTATGATCCTAAAGTTAAAACAACCATCTCATAGCTGACAAGAGATCAGAGTGGAAATTTACACATAACCCAATTAGAATACTTTCCAGCAAATAGAAAGTTAAGATTAATAGAAAGTTAAGAAAAACATGTCCACTGGTATCTAGCTTCTGATATGAGAAGAAAGACATTAAAAGTACACCTTCTTTAAATTACTACCTTTCACATTATGTTGACTTATTGCTCCAACGGCCACATTTTGCAACTACCATCTTCTTCAGTTTTCCTTTATCTTTGAAAGTAATTAAGAATAATTCACATTGCAGTTTATACCATAATCATTATCGTAAACAGTAGGCTTTGTACCAATCATAAAATACTTTGGATTTTGAAGGTATTGAAAAGACAAATTTACATGTGTTTTCTCTTGTGGACTTTTTTCTTAATTTTAAATCATGAAGTGTAAGCTTCTGTTTTTAAGTACAAATACAAAGAAAAACACTTGAAAATAAAAAGCTCGATAACTTACAGCAAGCAAGTGAGAAGATCGGGTTTCAATTTCACCAATCATGCTGCTGCGAACATTGTCAACATTTGGAGCATCACAGATCCCACTACCTGAAGAATCCTTTCTTGAATCACGTTTCATAAGTGAATGGTATAGCTCTGCGACCTGTGGTGCTCTTTGCATTACCCCCGAGCTTTTGGTGGAGAATTTGGGAGGTGGAGGAGGAGGAGGAGGTGGTGGTGGAGGAACTGCGCCATTTGTTTTAACAGGGTTAGAAATAGACGTTGAAGGCCTTGGAGGAGGATTAGGAATCCTAAGGGCACGCTTCTCAACATCTATAGTAATGACCTTGCACGGTTCTAATTTGCTCGCAAATAATCTAGGAGTGTGAACAACCTCAAGGTCATAATTAGGAGCCAATTTTTCGTTATCCTGATTTGTTCCATTATCCATTTCCTTTGGATAGATAAATCCATCAGATTGCCGTCTTTTGTTAAGAGCAAGGTTTTCAATATACCCCTTCGCTCCGCTGATAGAATGCCTGCGTTGAAGGCTTCCTCCTTGAGCTACTATCCACTCTTTACTTAAAACAGCTTGGCAATCTATAAGTTGGCAATCTTCAGTATCTTGAGGCCATTTACAGCAAGCTTCGTTGTTAACCTCAAAAGTTCTGTCAGTGTCTTTAAATTTTATCCTAAGCTCTTCGTCTAAATCTAAAGTCTGCCTTGATAGTTTCTCTGAGTTGGAGAGCTCATGTCTCAAGCATGAGTTGACCCATCGTAAGTATGCAAGTTCCTCAACCTCAGTTAATCTACTCATTTGAAGGCCCTCGACTTGTTTGCAGAGGTTCTGATTTGTGTGCCGTAATACTGATGCCTCTTCTTGAGCCTTTGCCAATATTTCACTCTGAGGAAAAGGTTAATGTGAGAGAAACAAATCACTTGAGAACTTCTGCTCTTTTAATGAGCATTCATGAAGAACATATGCATAAGGTGATTGCATATGTGCAAGAGGACCTTAACAGATAATCAGAAGATGGATGCAGCAGTTAAGGTGTGTATGAAAAAAGGATAGATATTTTCTTCATGAAATAGCTAAGACAGGCTAATAACAGGACTAACAGCATCAGATCACATCATTAAAGAAAATGAACTGTGAATTTCATATTGTCGATTCGGGAGAACACTACCAAAAAGAATTAATCTAAAAGAGTATATGTTTGAAAATCTAGAACCGAGATATTATGATTTGAGAAATAGCACCTCGGTGACCTTTGCAAGGGCGGCAAGTTGGGATTCAGTTGAAGAAAGTCTTAGAGCTAGATTTCTCTTTTGAAGCTGGAGTTCCTTATTTAGACGTCGTAATTCCACGACCTCCATCTCCAAGTTTCTATATGATGCTAGATTCTGAGATCCTTCAAACCTTGAGCTATCCTCACGGGCATCCAATATAGAATTCAGAGAGGCTAACTGTTCAAAAAGGTTGTCTTTTTCCACTTCAAGAGAACCAACCCTGCAATTTAGCCGCTCAATCTCAATCCTCTTTGCATCAATTTCCTTCTCAAGCTCTGAAACTCTCGGGTTTTCCTTGTATTGCAGCAATTGTGACTGTAGGACTAATTCTCTATCCTTTGAATCTCGAAGTAAGCTTCTGAGGTGATCCAGCTCAATGAACAGATTGTGAGAAGATGGAGACATTATCCGATGACTGTCGAATGCATGGGGATAAACTTGTGTTGAGTTGGCACTACATGGAAATTCTCCAATGAGAGATCTCTTAACACGAGATTGAGCTGCATTCTGATCTTTCTTGATAGAGACCTCCAAACCAGCCAGAGGCAGCTTCTTGTTTGGAATTGATGCTTGAGACTTTGATTTCTTTTCTGTGACAAAGCCCTTGACGATCTGGGACCCCCACAAGGAACTCGACTTAGGCTTCGGAGGATTACCGCTAGTTTTTCCGTTACCCCTTGGATTTTTTGAATGGTTATCAACGATGATATCTTCTCTCATTATTTATCCAGTATCAGCAGACCACTACCCTAAACATTTGAACCCAAAGACTCCAATTAGGCAATAATGTTATTTTCCATAGTGATGCCTAGATTAATTCAAAGCTAAAACTGCTTTAAAAATGATCAAGAAGAAGCTAAATAGCGTACCTCTTATGGAGAAAAATGAAGACCAAAGTATTTGAGATTGATATGTCACAAAGACCACCAAGCTGAGCTTCCTCTTTACTCCTTATAGAACCCACAAATTTTCTGTAAAATATTACAATGTCGGTTATCTGCTTCAAACAAGAGAAAAAGAAACCATCTTTGCCCTCGAGGAAAAGCTAAAACCCCTGATTTCTAGGCAATGAAGATCAAAAAGACTCGATTTTTAGCTCCAAAATGCCTTAAAACTCAACTCTGAACAATAAACAAAGCAAAACAAAGAAACCCCATGTGAAAAAAAACTACCTTTTGTTTATTTATTAGCAAAGAAGCGACCCGTCAAGCCAAAAAAACAGAACTTGTTCCTCTTCTTAAAAGTTCAAAACCCCATTGCCAAGCCCAAGAATAAAATTTACAAAAAACATGGGCTTTTGCCAAATTTTCCAAATCTCTTTGATTTCTAGAGCGGATTTTGAGACGGCAGAGCTCCAGGATCGAGGCTCTATTTAGTGCGCTCGTGAAATTTTTTCCTGCTGCTTTTGTTGCGATTTGAAAGTTTGAATTTTGAAAGGGGCCTATTAGCCGTAGGGGTGTGGGGCCCATGGAATGGGTGAGTCAGTGGGTGCATTTAAGATTCGGGGATTTGTTTATCGGAACCTGTGAGCGTGACCGGGGAAAGGGCTCGGAATTGATGGGCTTTGGGTTCTGAAAACGAATGGGACAGTTTGAGTTTGGACTGATGCCGAGCAGGCCTGCATACAACCACAGACTGCGATTTTCAGCATGCTTGCTTGGATGAACTCTCATCTGTGGGCCTTGCTATTCTTTGACGCTTTCAGTTTTCCGAGTTTTAAAAGGAAAAACTATGCTCAGGTCCCTTTTTTAAAAAAAACAATGTGCGGCACCCTTCTGGACTTTCTGCAATGTGTATCATCCTCCCTCCTTGACCCACTCCTCAAGAGGAGCTGTTTGGTAGTGATTTTTTTAAGGGTGAAAACAGGGGAAAGCCTGCCATAGTGTCCTATCTGTGGCAGGTTTCACCCCAAATCGCCCCAAAAAATAGCGTTTTGGGGTGATTTCTGACTGAAATCAGGGACTGTGTCAGGGATTCACCAAAAAAAATTTGGAACCAAACGGTCCCTTATTTTCCGTGTTGCCATGTCGGCAGAGATAGAAAATATTTTTTATTTATCCCCAAATTACCATTGTCTCAACCTTTCATCTTTCTTCTCTTTCCACATAGAAGCATGGAAAATATTTTCTTCTAGTGCTTATTCTCCTCAACCATTATTTCTTTCGCCACAACATTTCTTATTGCATTCTCCTTCTCTCTCTTCTCGTTATTAAGCAATCATTTTCTTTATACCGCCATAGCCACTCTTTCGTCTTTTATTTCTCTTTCTTTAATTATCTCTTTTCCTTCTTCTTCTTCTATAACTGTTGATGCATAAATGCCAATCATTTTCATCTTATATGGACCATCACTTAAGGTTACGTCAAACTAAATATCGACCAATATATTGCTTCGTCGGCTAATATATCATGTTAAAGAATTTATATCGGTAATATTTTATATTATTTTCTTTTGTTTGTTGATTTATTTGATATATCGACTGTTATAGAAAATGTGGCAGATATATTCCTTTGAAGATATTGAGGACATCATGTAATTTTTAATTTGATTATAGGTTCGGGTTTGGATTGTGCTTGGGAAACAAAATTGGAACCCGCAAAACCCATAAATACCACAATTCTTCTCCCAAATCTCTCCACTATAGGCTCTCTCATATCTTAAGCATATATCTTGATGAAATTTCTTATGTTTAAAATTCATTAACGTGTTAGGTTATATATTATAATGTCATGTTATGTATGAATATTATCTCATATGACACCCAATATTACTAGATATCCCTGATTTTTGCAACCCGATATCATATATTTTATTTTTTAATATTTATTTGATGTCCAACACTTTGTAGTGGTCCTTCAAAAGCCTCTTCTAAATTTTTCTAAGCGAAGTATATAATTTCAGTAAATAATTCAAAATCTTGAGGCTCATTCAAAATATGATGCTTTAATTTTTCCACATCTCCTCTACTGTATAAATATAAGCTAAGCATCTTGCCTCATATTGTATGATGAATATTATTTATCATTGGGATCATATACTATTGTTTGTGGATAACAAATGTTTCAAATGTTTTGTAGGCTTAATTGAACTTAAATACCTTATAGTTTATCAAAAGTATACTATATACCTCCACTTGTATCTTACTGCACCTTTTTTTTAATTTTAGATAATATATCTTAATGCACTTAAATATCCTAATGTTTTCTAAAAGTTAATGTTTGTACCTTCTGTCTTATTACCTTAAACATAAAAATAATCTTTGTAATTTTTCTATATGAGTTTCATAGTATAATTTTAAGACAATTCTATGTTTTCTACTATTTCCATAAATACTTTATTGACATGCAATTGTATATTAATATATTATTATACATTACTAATGATTAATATGATATAGAGTTTTATAATAACGTTGGAAGTTCTAAGGACCAAATTATGCAAACTTAAAGTGACATATAATATAATTAATTAACAATAATAATTAATTTAGTTTAGTTAGTATCAGAATGTAATATCAAAAGAGAATAGAGGTAATATAGCCATTGAAAAGTTTTTTCACAACTCTCTCTTTTAAATGGAGTATGATTTGATCAACCAAATGTACTTCTTTGATAAAATTTGTTACGTTCTTCAAAGGCTGTCTCCTTTGACTCAAATGACCACTTTCAGTGTTAACTTTAATTTTTGAATTTTAATTTTAAATAAGTATTAATTTTAAGCCTTTACTTCAAAAACTATAATTAAAAAATTAACACTCGAAAACTTAAGTTATCACCTAAAATTTTAAAGTTAGCACTAAAAACTGACCATCTTAACCGAATAAGAGAGTCTTTGAGGGATATAGCGACGGTTGTGGAAGAAGAAAGAGTTAAGATAATTATTGAGGAAAGAGAAAAAATAACCGAGGAGATGTCGCGGCGGAAAAAAAAAGTTAATTATTAGTTCATGTTAAACCTTATATGTTAATTTTAAAGATTCGATGTTGAGTTAAACCATTAGGTGTTAAGCTTAACTATAATATTGGCGAACTTTAAAGGATGATATATTTAAGCAAAATGATAGCATTTGAATGATGTTGCACATATTTAGGTATGCAGGGTGTAGATGGGACGGAGGAGGGAGAAAATTGAAGACAAAGATGAAAATAGATGGATGAGTAAGGTGAAGGTGAGACGAAGGGGAGAGGAGGGTGGAGGAAGAAGGAAAAGCGCGAGGGGAGAGGTGAGAATAAAGTTGAAATAGAGGAGAGATGAGAGTGACTTTGGTATGAAGAAAAGAGGAGAAGGGAGGATGATGGGCACATAAGAGAGGAAGATGAAGATAAGAGGACGAAGATAGAGCGAAGAGGAACCAGGATTGGTCGTGAGCATTCGGGGGCCCTAAGCAAAAACTTGAACAAAAATCCTAAAGGGGCCCTCCTATATTTAAGATTTTTGTTTATAAATAAAGTGTTGCACCCATGTAACTTTAGGCCTGCCTATATACCAAAGGATGCTATAACTAATTCCAATGATCAAACACAAATGTAGTTCTCCTAAGCTACCCACATTGGCCAAAAGCCTACAAATCACACCCTAACACTCTCATTCCCAAAACAAAATCAATGAACCAATAGAAGTATCACTTTATAAAGCCTCTTATTGCATTTTTTAGATGCAAAATCCACTACATTTCCCTCAATTGACAATATAGCTAAGTCATTCAATCTTTCTTGTGACATAGTTGATCGAAGGTAAGATTTGATCAATTTTAACTTTGAAAAAGCTTCTTTCAAAGACATATAGTAAAAACAAAGTATTTGGCATACACTCCAAGATCCAATCATCATAAGATAAATCAAAACATAATAAATACATATAGTAAAGCAGCTTAATTTGAAATGCACTTAGGATGCACTGCATAAAGCACAACCCATGAATGGAAATTAGCATGCACAACCCATGAATGGAAATTAGCAGTGGCGGATCCACAACCTCTCGTGTGGTGGTTCAAAATAAACGCTAATTTTTTTCCCAGATGCTATTAAAGAAAGCATAAAAATTAGGCTAAACAAATAATAGTAAAGAGAAAAAAAAATTTAGAGAAGCAAAAATAAGGATAATAGGAGAAAGTAGAAATATAAAGAGGCTTTTGGGAGATTTTGAACTTTGACCTCTTTTATGTAAGCAAATGCTTATATCACTGGGCTGTAAATTACATTTGTTTACAAACTGATATGTATAATATATATATATACTATTTGAAAATCTGAGGTGGTTCAAATGAACCACTTTGAACAAGAACAGGTCCGCCACTGGAAATTAGCATACACTTTTGCAGAGATAGATTGAAAAAATATAACAGAAAGTCAACACATGCATAGCAGTTAATTTGCTCATTGTCCCGCTACAGTTGGAGCTTATAATCACACATAAAAAAGTTATAATATTCAAGCAGCATTAAAAATAGTGTCATGTGCATAATAAAGTACGATGAAAGTTATATACCATCAAAAAATTAGCATACTGTCTGCAGATAAATTATGAAGAAACAATGCAATCATTTGATGATAGTGGGGCCCTTGTTTTTTGGGGGCCCTAGGCGAATGCCTCTCCGGCCTAGCCCTAGGGCCGGCCGTGAGAGGAACGGAGAAAAGAGGAAGTAGGATGGAAGAGAGAGAAAATAGGAGAATGAATGGATAAAAAATGTTGATATGAGGAACGAAGGAGGAGAAAAGGTAGAAAATCAGAGTATGTTAGAGATAAGAAACAAAAAAGACACAGAATAAAGCAAATTTGAAAAAAAAGAACGTAAGTACATTTGACTTTGAGCTATATGATATCTCTTAGGGCCCGTTTGGATAATGGAAGTATTGGAAGTAAAAAATAAGTTATAGAAGTAACTTTCAAAACTATAAAGTTGGAAGTAGTGGAAATAGAATTTTTTTTTTGTTTCATATATTTTTAGAAGTAATGGAAGTAGAACTTCTTCATCTTCATTTACTTTTTTTGTTTGGATAACATTTGAAAATATTACTAGGAAGTAATTTTATCAATGAAAAGTTGTTAGAAGTAACTAATAAAGGAAATATTAATAAAAAATTTATTTATTTCCTAATTAATATGCATTTCAACTACTTCCGAGCTACTTCTAAGTATTAAGGATTGAAAAAATATTTTGGAAGGATGACACGTAGGCGTCACATAAGCGTTTAAGGAAGTATTGGAAGTAAGTTTTTCAAAGAACCAAACATATTTTTTTATTTGGAAGTAACAAAAATAGCATCTACTTCTTTTACTTCAGCTACTTCATAATTACTTCGGTGCAAACAAACAGGCCCTTAATTTAAGGCCTAAACTTAAATTTTCCAATAATTGTGAGTAATAGCTATTATGTATATTGATGTCTTTCTTTTTCATGTTAACCCCCTAATTCTTCATATTGTGAAACTAGCCTCCAAATCTTGATACTATGGAGGAATATTAATCAATATATCGGGTTAAAACCCAATTTTCCTTAAAAAGATATTGATATTTTGACAACTGTCCTCAATCTTTAAGTATTTTGAAATCGGTCTCTAAATCTTCTATTTTAAAATTAGCCTTTTCTTTTTTTGAAATTTGTCCTTCTAGTAGAAGTTGGTTGAAAGATTTGGGGGATTAGTTTCAGAATATGAAGTTTGAAGGACTAGTTTCAAAAAAGTTAAAGATTTGAACTGATTTCATAATATCAAAATTGGTGACTAGTTTCAAAATATGAAAGACTTGAGGGATTGATATGAAAAAAGGCCAGTATATTATACTTTGTGAAATGTAGAAAGTTTTTTTACTATAAAAACGTACGGGCTGAAGGGGAATTTTCACAGGAGGATTATTAGATCAACAATTTTGTATAGCTGTAGTTTTCTAGAGCATGACAAAGGACACGAATATGAGAGAGCGCATGAATACCACTTACATCGCCACGCTCTAAAGAACTGCGCAAGAACAAATTTTCGATTTAAACCCATTTAAATTTTTTATTAAAAAAATCAATCAATTTGACTTTTTATTATCAAAACCGACCCTTTCGTGCCACGTCAGCAGCGTGGCCACGAAATGGGTAGGTTTTTTTTTAAATGACGCCGCTAAATAGTCGGGGTTGCCAACCCCGACTATTTAGTTATGTCGGGGTTGGCAACCCCGACTATTTAGCTAAGGGCACGCTAAAATAGTCGGGGTTTCCAACCCCGACTAATTTAGGCCCCTGCCTAATTGGTCGGGGTTGGCAACCCCGACCATTTGGCAGAGAGGTTCAGTTCGCTACGATAAAATGGTCGGGGTTCCCAACCCCGACCATTTGGCAGAGAGTTCACGTGCACAAAATGGTCGGGGTTCCCAACCCCGACCATTTGGCAGACTCTTCCAGCTGGAAATATGAACTCCGCTGGAAATTCAAACTCCTGCTGTTACATATCAATCAACAATTCAATCACAATCACAATAACACACATACCAATCCGGATTCTCTTCATCATCTTCACCCAAAAATTGCATGTTGTCAAGTGGTGCACTATCTTCATCTTCACCATCAGAGGCGTCGCTTCTTTCACCCTCTTCATATGAAGGTGCACCACCCTTATATTGAAATTGAGTCCGCTGTATTTCACTCGAAGAAGAAAGAAAGCCTTCAGACTCAACTTCCAAATCTAACATGCGTGAAAATTCTCCTGGAGGGTTGAATATTCGGCCCGTACTATGTGGCACCGTTTCAATAAACAATTCTACCATTGGTTGTGACTTGCTCAAATTAAACAAAATACTCATGGAATGATCGTTTGAGATCTCAACGGCGGACGTTCTATCATAAGTTATCGGCCAATTGCATATTATTTTTAGCCTGCAATCTCGTGGGTCAATTGTCGTAACTCCATGAATTTCATTAACCAAGTCAAGGTAACTGTATGATTCCGATATCATTAACGGAATTGTCACCCCTCCGACGTACATTGGCATATTATTCATTCCATACTTAATCGTTCCACCATAAGAGCAAGCAATAAAAATCATACTGTTCAACCTATACAAATTAAAATTGTATCATTTAAATGCAAAAAATTTAAAAAATATTATCAATTAATACCCTAAAATCTAATTGCAACCCTAAAACACAATTACAACCGTAAACCCCTAAATCCTAAACCCTAAAATTGACCCCCAAATTCTAAACCCTAAAATTGAGTGTTCTATGCCCCCAAATATTTAATTTCAACTACAACAAGAATAAAATTTCTAAATAAACCACTACAAATAGAGTTCAAACACTATAATTTTGTTTTGGAGAGAAAACCCTAGATTTCTAGGTGTAAAAAGAGGGGAGAAGGGAGAGAGTACCTGTTAGATCTTTCACCCCTAGAATTCCGCACAAAAAAAGAGGAGAGAAAGCTGCGATCCGTGGCTCAAAGAGAGTTTGGGAGGAGGAGATCGACGAAAATGAGAGAGAGAGACGCGGCTGGAACCGGAAATGAGTGAGAGAGTGAAGTCGTGACCTTTATATAGGTCGGGGGCCCAGTGAACAAATAGTCGGGGTTGTGAACCCCGACTATTGTCACTTAGTCTTTTTCACCGCTCGACGGCTGAGACAAAGTCTCTGCCAAATGGTCGGGGTTGGGAACCCCGACCATTTTGTCGTAGCGAAGTGAACCTCTCTGCCAAATGGTCAGGGTTGCCAACCTCGACCAATTAGGCAGGGGCCTAAATTAGTCGGGGTTGGGAACCCCGACTATTTTAGCGTGCCCTTAGCTAAGTAGTCGTGGTTGTCAACCCCGACATAACTAAATAGTCGGGGTTGGCAACCCCGACTATTTAGCGGCGTCATTTAAAAAAAAACCGACCCATTTTGTGGCCACGCTGCTGATGTGGCACGAAATGGGTCGGTTTTGATAATAAAAAGTCAAATGAGTCGATTTTTTAATAAAAAATTTAAATGGGTTTAAATTGAAAATTTGTTCAACTGCGCAATAGAAAATGATAACTGTTTTCTAGATAAATTTGGGGGGAAAAATCATAAAAGTAAAAAGGTAAATAAAATTTCTGAATGTAGTAGTTCTCTTTCTAACATCGAACGTTTTAACGACCTGTACGACAACTACGGGCTCCCTCTTCTCTTGGAGGCCCAAGCCCCGAGCTCAAGCCCAAAACCAGTAAAATAACGACCTGTGTAGAAATAATCTTTCAAGCTGTCCAGTAAAAGAAATAATAAAATAAGTAATCTTTCATCCCGTTCGCTTTCGATACGTTTGGTTTCCTTACAGCTAACGTGGTGGAGTTCCTCAGGAGGGTACATAAATTCATGAATAAGAATGTGGCGACAGCGGGGTCGGCTGAGTACGTGTTTCGTAGGTTAGGTTTTGCAATTCAGAAAGGATTAGCGGCGCAGCTTGTTGTCCGCTTGTCATCAACACATGTGTAATTTTTTCAAATTTAAAAATAAAAAATGGATATAAAATAAATAAATAAATAAATAAATAAACAAATAAACAAATAAATAAAAATTGGGGTTTTCCAATATTAGTCCCTCAAATCTTTCATATTTATTAGTCCCCCGAATCCTGATACTATGAAATTATTCTTTAACTGTTATGAAACTAGTACTTTAGATTTTTCATACTTCGGAATTAGTCCCCCAAATCTTTTAAGTATTTTTAAATTCATCCCGCAAACCTTTCAACCGGTTGCTAACTAGAAGGACTAATTTCAGATTATTTAAAAGATTTAGGGGACTAATTCCAGAAAACTTAGGGAGTTGGGTGATTATGTCAAAATATCAAAATTTGCTAGATTAATTACAAAATATGGAAGATTTGGGCATAATATCGGTGGGGGTGAAAAAGATAACGTTTAGACGGGCCAGGTTTAATTGACAGATCCAAAGTTGAAACTAATTTGGAAAGCTTTTGTTTCGGATCCGGCCCGACCCAGATCGTCCCAAATTATCTCTGAAAATGTCACAGCATTATTCTTCACTCTCTGAGCAAGGGGCATGGCGGGTTTAGGATAATTTGCAAAATCGCTCCCTTCTCTTAACTTTCTCCATCATTGAACAGTAATCTTCACTGGGTATGTTTTAATTTTATGATTCTATTTCGATAAATTCTCTATCCGTTTGAGATTATGATGGCGAGTGTTCAAATGGGTTTTCTAAATTTGGGATTGAATGGGGGCCTCCTACCCAATTATCCTCCAAACTCTTACTTTCTAGTCCATGAGTTTTCGATTTCTCAAAGACCCAATTCCTTAGTTACCTCGAATTCTATTACAGCAAAGAAAAATTGGAACTTTGTTAGAAGAAAGCCCAAACCTAGTAAAGTAGGTTTTGGAACTGCCTTGAGTTGCATTGACATCAAGGAAATATTCAATTTTGATGGGGAAAAACCCAAATTTTGTACTATAAGCGCATTGGGGAGTGGGGAGGTTGACGCCCGTTCAACTACTGTTCAATTTGTTGAGAAGGAGTTGAAGTTTAGTCCATCTTTTCAAGACTACTTGAATGTTATGGAGTCGGTTAGAACCGACCGGAGTAAGAACCCGAGTGAGAAGGTGAATGCTGTTACTCCGCAGAAGAGAACAGTGAAGAGGAAAACTTCAAATAGGGCTTGGGAAAAGCCTAATTCAAGAGAAGGGAAGTTGATTTATAGGGGAAGGGAGAAGGATTCGACGAGGAAAAGGCATGGCGATGTTGAAAGGAGAGGAAGTGGGTGGGGCCTAGTGGAAAGGATTTTGGAGAAGAAAACTTCGGGAAAAGGTGGAAATCCTTTGAAGGATGAGAAAAATAGTTTGAGCAAAGAGTTAAATGGTGGTGGGGATATTGTGGACAATGATCACTTTGAGAGAGAAGGAGCGGGCTTCAGTAACTTGAAAGAACAAAATAGAAGAGAGTTTAGAAGAGTACATGAGGTAAAGATTTCTAGCCGATCAAAGGATGCATTGGAAAGAAAAAGCAGCGATAGATTCAATGAATTCAAAAGAGATGTCAGTGGTTCTGAAAAAGTTTATGTTAAGAAGGGAAATCACGTCAGCAATGGGAGAGGGGAGGTGGGTTTGGATGAGATGAAGTCAAGTGAAGGTAGGAAAGTTTATGAGGGTAAGGTGGAAAGGAAGATGGTTGAACTTGAGAATAGCAAGAATTTTACAAGCAGAAAGGCTTTTGTCAGGAGCAACAGTGGAAGGAAATTTGATGAATCTGCAGTTGCTAAGACCTTATATCAAAATGACAGTTTTACTAATATGAGTAATCAGAGTTATGGATCTGAAGTGGGCAGTGTTGGAAGGAATGATCAGAGTTTTTTGAGATTGGAACACAGGACCGGCAATGATATGGACGTCCTTGAGAAGGAAATCAGAGGACAAGATCCAAGTCGAAGGCATGTTGCCTTCCAAGACAAGACTAAAAAATTTGCAAAATTTGATTCTAGAGCTAATGGAAAGAGTAATATTCGGTTGGATAAGGTAGGTGGACAAAAGATTGGTGGTGTTGATTATGAAGACAGAGCAGCTTTCAGGACTTTCGAGGTTTTTACTGATGTCCGGAACAGACCACGAGTTTTACGAATGGAAATGGAAGAGAGAATACAGAAATTAGCAAAGAGGTACATTGTTCTCTCTCCCTTTTTCTTTAATTTTACTTTATTATCAATCTTTCTCGTTATTATCTAAACTTATATAACTTATCAGCATGAACATAGCATCTATGCTTATAACCATAGTAATGATCAGTAACTGTTTGTCAGTTTGTCGTAAATTGGTTAAGAAAGTAAATCAAAGTAAGTCATTTACTTGAATCAATCATCTTGGCTTGTTGGCTTTATTTATACCTCTTCCTTCTGTGACACTATTTTTGCATGTCGCTTAACTTTTGTAACACTATTCTTCATCAGACCAACCTCTCTTACCACTAATTTTTCTATATCTTTTTTTGAGCATAACAAGAACATAATACTATTATTTTCTTCAAAATTATACCTATATTTAATGACTAAGATATGCTTTCTCCTTGTCCTTCCTGACACTAAGTTTGAGCACGAACAATTAAAATGTCATCTAACCTATGTAAACATTACCTTGGTGTATCTATTTTATCTGTAAGCTTTTGAGTCACCATATGCTCAATGCTAGTGCGCTATACATACAATATATACGCAGAACTCCTACCATCTTTTTACATCACAGAGGTGTTAGTTAACGTTATCATCCATGATGAGTATCTTTTGTCAGCATTAATGACATCATTGCCATGAGATATGCAATCTTCAAATTTACTAGGCCCTGTCCCTTATTCTTGTTTTTGCACAAGAACTGTTGGAGTTCTTGCATAGAATCATGAACTGCATATCATTCCTGAGTGCTGAAATTTCAACTTAAAAATTTCTCGTTTCTTGATATTTCCTGTAGATATTTTAACTTGTTCTTTTATGTATTAATTTTTTACTCAAACACACAATATGTATAAGTTTGATGATAGGACATAAGTTTTTGACGCACAAGTTTACTGTCAAAGGTTGAATGCTACAGATGTAGATATGCCTGAGTGGCAATTCTCTAAGATGATGCATGGGGCAAACATTAAATTTACGGAGCATTCAATCTTAAGGGTTGTCCAAATATTAGGTGCACTTGGAAACTGGAAGCGAACATTGCAAGTAGTTCAATGGCTTAGCAGGTAATTTTTTTGCAAAGAGCACAAAAACACCATAAAAACCCAGTTCCCCATTCAGAGACCTTTTTCTACAACATATGCATCCTGTTTATTTCATCCACTTATTTTTGTTTCCTCAACTTCTGACTTCAAAATGTCTGCCAATTTTTATAACAAATCCAATTTAACTTTCTTATATGTGCTACTTTTATCTCTGTATAACCCATACCACACCTAACCTCATTTTGTTTTTTCTAGCTAGTTTATGATCCTCAATTGCTTAATATCAACATTGATGTATCTTGGACTTTCAACAATCCTCCTTCAGTTTATTCTACCAGAGGGCTAACTCCTTCAGTGCAGCATTTATGAATATTTGAGAATTAGACACAAGCTTATTATCTTTTATTACATTCTTCTAATGCAGATATATTTACACGTCTGTACTTGATGTACTTGGGAAGGCAAAAAGACCTACTGAGGCACTGAATATATTTTATACCATGCGTGTAATACATTTTACTTCTAAAGCCTTCTCACTTATAATTTTTTAGTTGCCCTTGTAAAGTATAACGAATATTGACTAAGCTTTAATTATTTGCAGAAAGAACTATCTTCATATCCTGACCTTGCAGCCTATCATTGTATCGCTGTCACACTTGGGCAAGCTGGACTTATGAAAGATTTATTCGATGTCATTGATTGTATGAGAGCTCCGCCAGAGAAAAACTTTAAGTTGGGTTTGCTGCAGAAGTGGGACCCACGGTTGGAACCCGATCTTGTCATCTATCATGCAGTGAGTAGTTTGGACTTTTTATTCTCTGCTCTCCTTTGATCTAAGATAATAACTGGATATATCTGTTATTTAGGTTTTAAATGCTTGCGTCCAGCAAAAGCAATGGGAAGGAGCATTCTGGGTGATACAACAATTAAAACAGCAGAACATCCGGCCTACTAATACGACTTATGGTCTTATCATGGAGGTACATCTAAGAAATCCAATTTAAATTCTAAGATCTCCTTTGACTTGGCTCTGATTATTATTTGATTAGACAAAAAATATGATGTTGTTTTGCAATGAGAAAAATTTTCTGACAATTATGGATACCAATTTTGATTTGTTCTATTCAAACATTTGAAGAATATGGAGCACAAGAGTAGTAAATAGTTGCTTTCGGTTTCTTTATTTTTAGAGGATATCATTTCCTTCTCAACATTGTCATTGGTTAATATTAGGTAATTTTGCATCCAACGTAGAGTCCACTATAATCAGGCTAATCCGCAATAAAGGGGAAGGGGGTGACTAGAGTTCAAACTTCAAAGTCAAATTCTGGTTTCCATTTTCCACTCTATTCATGGTCGGGATAGGTGACATGTGCTAGACATGAATTATGAAAACCATAAAATTGGTTTAATAAAACTACTTAGTGCAGAACAGCGACTTGGGGAGTTAAGTTGGAGTTTGGTTGAATTCTTTCTTTAAGAAAAGGAGAAGCCTAGGAAGGGCGTTGATGATTTGTCTTAAAACCTGAGTCTTGGAAATGTCTTAGTTTAGCAAAAAATGTGTCACCTTATTGAGAATTAAGTACTGAAATTTTGAAATAAATATCTCAATCAAAATTTTATGTCAGAGAACTATTGCTTGCTCAAGTAATAGATGTGCTAATTTAACTGTGCAGGTGATGCTTGTATGTGGAAAGTACAACTTGGTGCATGAATTTTTTAGGAAAGTGGAGAAGACTTCGATCCCAAGTGCATTGAACTATAAAGGTACAGAGTGCAAAATTCATAAAGTATTTCCTGCATCAAAGTTTTTCTGAACATCCATATTTCTTGTTGTAGTACTTGTAAATACTCTGTGGAGAGAAGGTAAGGTAGATGAAGCTGTATTAGCGGTACAAGAGATGGAAAGACGGGGAGTTGTGGGTTCGGCTAGTCTCTATTATGACCTCGCCCGTTGCCTCTGCAGTGCAGGAAGATGCCAAGAAGCTCTACTACTGGTTGGGAATCCTTATTTTTATCACCATTCGTTTAGAAGTTTTGTTTAATATATACAATGGTTACTGATCTAGTTGTAATAGTATTGTGTTTACTCTGCAACATCTACTTTTTCTTTAGCTTGCCTATGCGCCAGGTTCTGTGAATTGAACATCTAAAACTATAGATTTAATTTTAAAAATGAAAGCATAGGACATAGGTCTCAATCCTTTTGGAAATAGATTTTTTTAATTTAAAAAATTCAAGTGTAGGACTAAAGTAAGTATATATATATATATATATATTTTGATTGGAAAATAAGTCTAACATTGAAAGATAAACGTTAGTTTTAATTGTTTGAAGTGAGCTGGAAAAATCATGGTTGGTTTTATCAATCACTTCTATTGCTACGTGTACTGAAAATATAGTTTCATATTTTCTATTGCAGGTTGACAAGATATGCAAGGTTGCAAAGAAGCCTTTGGTCGTAACATACACCGGACTGATCCAAGCTTGTCTGGATTCTGGAAGCATTGAGAACGGCGCATATATTTTCAACAAAATGCATAAATTCTGTGCACCAAATACAGTAACTTGTAATATCATGCTGAAATCATATATACAGCACGGAATGATTCAGGAAGCAAAGGATTTATTTCAGACGATATTGGATAGTAGCCATCAGATTAAAAGTAAAAATGATACTGATCAAAAGGCCATTCCAGATAAATTTACATTTAATACCATGATGGATGCATGTGCTGCAATGAATAATTGGGACTATCTCTTGTACACCTATGAGCAGATGTTGCGTCATGGTTACCACTTTGATTCAAGAAGGCACCTACGTTTAGTGTTTGATGCCTTCAGGGCTGGAAAGGTAACCTCATGACCATAATCTTTACTTGTGGTTCATTGAATTAGAATATAAATCCTCCAATCACGCAGTATACGGGCGTCGTGGCGAGTATTATTCGACCTCTGACGATGTTTCCCCTATCCCAGTCACCCCTCAGTTCGTTTTGGACACATCGACTGAGGTTGTACAGGCAGTGAAGGAAGGTGGGCACCGAGCTCTTCGACAGTTGATTACTGATGCACCACTTGTGAAGGACGCCAGTTCCGTTCAGTCTCTCAGGAAGACTGATTTTTTGTTTGGTGATTCTGTCAGAGATCCCGATGCAGCGTTTATTGACGCCGAGCAGTGGCTTCATAAGGCTGGCAGTAGTTTCCTGTATTTGCCGAAGATTCCTCGACATCGTTCTTTGACTGAGCTTAGGCGTCAGGCTGTGAAACGGGAGATGTCGTGGCGCTTGACAGAGGAGCATGAGAGCGTTCACTGCGGCTACATTACTCATCAGGCAGTTCCTGGTTCGAGCAGGAATCATATTGTTGGACTGCGTCCTGGAGTACTGGGACTAGATGCACCGCCCCGTAACGAGTTCCTTGCACTTTGAGGAATCGCCTCGCTATCTTAGGACGGGAGATGCCTGCACCGCGCCACAGATTCTATGGTTGGGTCCATTCTTTGGACAAGTTTTGGTGGGCTCGTATGACGAAGTACGTCTTGAGCCGATGGAGCGAGGAGTTGCACGCTTGCGGTCTTTATGCAGCCATTCGTGCCACCATGCATGGTTTACCCGTTAGTGCGAAGCATTTCTTTGCCTTATGCGAGCTTTATAATCAAGACTCAAACACCTTTCTGACTAGGCACGGAGAGTTGGGCTTGGCTCTCCATGAGATGCATAAGATTTCTGGTTTGCCCATGGGTCAGATGTTATACCAGGAGTATTTTCCTTCCAACCATGAACTGAGCCAGCTGAAGGATCACATGCCCGACCGCTACGAGACCTTATGGGACCTCACTTGTCACTATCACATTGCTTTGGCGCAGTCTAAGCCCCTAGCGAAGAGGACCAAAGCAAATGTGAGCCTGAAGCAGTTCGCATCATATTTGTTCAAGAATCTGGAGAGCCATTCTGGCAAAACTATTTGTGAACTGGCACCGCTGACTCCTTCAGAGGTTAATGAGCTGCTGAAGAAGACTGACGCCCACTCCTATACCATTAGCAGTCCTGAGAGTGGCTTTCCTGCAGGGACTAAATTCAAATCATTCTTATGCCATGCGACCGCACCGATTCGTCCGATGACTCTCCTTGCCGGTTATCTCGCCATCTGGTTGAAGAAATGTGTGGTCCCGTATCAGTCTGGTGACGCTCTGCCACTGGAAGTGCTCTACCCTGCGGTTCAACTTGCCTACAGAAAGGAACTTTCACTTCTTCCGGTGATGGTGGCTAACATTCATCGAGGGCTTCGACAGATTTCTGGTGCTTTTACACGGAGAGATAGTGACAAACCGACTCAGATTCCTACCATTAAGGTGGAGCTTCCGTATATTTATTTGATGGCTTGGTTCGTCCTTCATCGTTCCGATGTGATGTCGGTACCGAATGCCATAGACCAGTCTGTTCCCTTTCTACAGCTGCTTGAGAATGGCGAGTGGGAGGGCCGAGGATTCCCCGATATCAGGCGTCAGCTACAAGTCCACAAGTGCTGGGCATTCTCCACTTGCTTTCCGCAGTTCTCCAATCGGTATGGCGAGTGTTTGATTGATGAGGAGAAGCCGAGGGAGTATAGGACTTATTTGGATATGGGCTGCTTTAATTGGCTAGTGAACATTAGGCCGGGTTACCTGACTTTCCGGGTGGGGAATCAGTGTTTTATAGAGCCGTATCTACCTTGCCGATTCGCCCG